TTTTCTTCCTAGTTGTTACAGTTTTCCCATCTATCATTGCAGTGGTTTGATTAAAAGTTCAAATTCAATGTTAATTTTAACCCAGCCTTTTGTGTTGACTTCATGGCTCATTTTGTAGCATTTAAGCCTACAATAGGATGCCTAGACCTGTTTTTATTTTATTTTTTTTTTCGCCCTGTCGCTTCATATTTTTTCTGAAAAAATCCGAGAACCAACAAATTAAATTGGTGTGGCCTAACCTTGACTTTTGTCAATTTACAATAGGTAAAATCTTGATGCTATTACATATAGAAATAGACATACCATAGCTTGAATATGTCATTTCATGGAGTGTGTAAAATCGATCAAAGTAATCACAACTATTGGTGCCATCTGGTAATTATAATGTTGGCATCACTTTTTCATCATAAACTAGAGGTCGGAGATCTCATGTCTTCGTCAGAGGTACATCGTTCTAGAGAAATTAACATGCGTATTCTTAAATCTTTTTAATAATCAATTTGGTCTAAAGAACAAAAGAATCTCTGTACTATTTTTATGGTACAGAACACCCTGAAACGGTTTGCCGCAGATTATACAGATGCGTCGTCACCCGTGTTAGCCCCCCACCCCCTACGTTATTTGAGTTTGGACTGTTACTGGAAAAAAAAACGTTCAAGAAATTCTTACTGTGTTGAAAGTGTCACGACAGCGCCGCAAAATATAATAAGAGAAGATGTTATAAAGGAAAGAATCAGAACAGGGTGACTACTGCTGTTTTGTTAATTTGTCTTTATGACAAATAGAAGACTTGTTTCTTGTGTTCTTTGTGTCCTAACATTTGTTCTTCTACAGTTAGTATATTCCAAATCTAGGCATCTCGTTTTTCGGCCCTTTGTGTTTTTATTGCGCGCTTGCCTTAAATTTAAGGTAATTAGATTTAAGGTCTTCAGTGGACGTCATCCATAGCAATTACTTGGTGTGGCCGTAGAAAATAACCTGACATATGTCCAACCTATCCTCCCCCTGCTGAAGTTATTGTACAATCCCTCAATGTAACGTCATTTGATCCCATCCCATTATGGGGTTCCCCGCTATATCCAGCTGTCGGCTGTCTCCAAGCAGATGTAGGTGGGGGATTTCTAAACACAAAAGGTCCTATTACGGGGACATAACGACCTCCACGACTCTCATCTTTGAACTCAATCTTGGAGACCACGACAGTAATATGCCTATCAAATTTCATTAACTTCCATCCACACATACAAAAGTTATCCTGCTCACAAGAAAAATTAACAAAATGCCCCCTGTAGTCACAACGAAACCCCCCACGAAGCTCAGTAACGAACTTAACCTTGGTCCCAACAATAGTAAGCACCACACCAAGAATTATAATCAACATTTTACAAATACTTGAGTTATCTTGCTAACAAGCCACAAACACAAAAGGTGCACTAACGTGACGCACGGACCCCCCACGAAGCCAAAACTTGTACTTGACTTCGGCCTTAACAGCGGTAATCTGCCTGCCAAAAATCAAGGACGTCGAATCATGCCTTCCAGAGTTATATCGCAAAATCCGCAGTTCCCCACACTCCGGCGAGACAATTTCATAGTCCTTCTGACGAAGACAATAATGTTGGCATAAGTCTGAAACTCTGGCTTACTGGGGGAAATTGAGCACAAGATCTTGTAAGCACATTTTGCTTGTTATCTGATATTCACAAATCTATGTGAATTAAATAAAATAAACTAAAATAATAATCACAACTCCACAACACGATATAACATGGTCCTTTTGTTCAGGTGTATTGTATGTTAGCTGCTCTGCAAATCAATTCGTCACCAGCTTTTGCAATGATCAAAACTGAAGTCTGGCTTTTTCCTCTAGGTGCAAGGGCGACGACTGGCGACCAACATGCAAACTACACCTCCAGGACAACCAAACAATAAACGAACGACTAAACAATAATGTGCATACATAACGTTCGTATCGGGCATCTACGTTATCTATAAGCTAATATCGAAGAGACTTATGGTCAAGACAAGAGGATGAAACATCAATTTCCCCCTTATACTTACAATATTTTGCTTGAGCTTGAACACGACTGATGTTCCGTAGAGGAAACCATTGTGCTTCAGCGGACAAAGTTGATATTTAGTGTGTATTTATTCTATAGCAACTAGAAACATGCAGTTTAGATTTTGAAACATATATAATCAGTGTTTAAGACATGTCTGCTATACTTTGCTTTTATTCATATATGTTTGTTTTTCATAATAGTTCAAAATTTTAACTTTAGCATTGCTGATATCTCCCATGACACAATGGAATATTCCGAATCATCATTGGGTCTGGTCATCGACCTTTTCAAACTTTTGGAGGAACTTGAACAAGGATTGACGGTCCATTCACAAAGTAAGTTGTTCGCCATTCAATTTGTTGAGTGGGAGGTTTACTTCATGTGTTGAATAGTCATAAGTGCATGTTGTGAGTTCGGGGGAGGGCGAATACTTCAAGCAATTCTGTGAGCATCCTCCGTCCAATATGGCTGGCCAGAAATGGCGGGAAAAATCCGGTTTGCGTAGTCTATTTTTGTATTCAACCCCAGAGGAAAATGTACTTAACTGCTGTATGAGTGACTTTTTCTCCTAAAGTGTGAATTTCATGCACGTGTGTTGTGCCAGCAGTAATATTCACAAAAAAATGCCTCTTTGAATCCTTCGAAAAAAGGCTGTGTTGGGTGGGGGGCTAGCCCCGAGGACTGAGAAGAGTAGAGCAAAAGTAGCCGTGGCGACTCAGCAATACCCTTTTACGAAATTTGCATGTTTGTATGTATATTTGGCTTCCGCCTCTCAGGTAAACATCTTTGATTTTGACTTTGAGGACCAAATTTCGAAGAAGTTAGAAGCACTGGCCTGATGTTTTGGTTGCAAAATTAGTGTAACGTTTTTTCACATCTTGAAAGTTTATCTGTGTTGGTAGAAGTCATTCTGAAGCAAGTTTCCAAAACAAGAAATTAGATTTTCGACTGTGCAATTCCAGTCTTTGTCAGCTTGAAAATTAACTCCAATGCCTTGTGTTGGAAATTACAAAGTTAACGTGCTTCAGAATTACAGTACTGTATTCACATTGTTGTCAGACAGCAGGGCTTTGTGCTGGTCAGAGAGGGATGGACCCTGTTGGACTGGACCCCTGGTCATCCTGGTCAGTCAAGATGGAAGATGAGAAGGTGAGAAAAGAAGCACAACATGGTGGTGTTTATAATAATAAATGGTTTTTATTGTCCAAAGAGTACCCGTGCAGTCGCAGCCTTTATACGGCTGAATTGATGCAGGGTATCACATAATAATCAATACAAATTACAACAATCAAATAATACACATGATACACATATTTGTTCCACAATTATTTTTTGTGGAATTGTCGCAAGGGTCTGTGCAGCTGCCATTCGGCGCCACCAGGTGACCTCATCGATTAGTCAATACGACTTTCCCCAACCGAAGTTAGGTACCCATTCACACCTGGGTGGAGTGAGGAAAGTCGTGTTAAGTGCCTTTCCCAAGGGAACAACGTCGGGGCGTATGTTCAGACATGTACCGGGTACGACTCGGAATCAAACCCGGGTCTCCCCGCTTCATAGTCGATTGCTCTAACCAATACACCACCCAACGCCACTAATTGTTTGATGGACAGGTTCTCACTGAACCTCATTCATTTTCTCAATGACTTGAATTGTCTCTTCTTTATCTTTGTATCAGTAAGGCCACACCAATTTAATTTGTTGGTTCTCGGATTCGCCTCTTCGTTTTTTTCTGATTTGCAAAAAAAAAAAATTGATTCTGGTCCTGAATCAACTGAAAAATGCTCATGTTTTGCCCCCAACAGTTGAGGAAAGTCCTTTTCTTCCTAGTTGTTACAGTTTTCCCATCTATCAATGCAGTGGTTTGATTAAAAGTTCAAAATTCAATGTTTAAATTTTAACCCAGCCTTTTGTGTTGACTTCATGGCTCATTCCATAGCATTTAAGCCTATAGTATAATAGGATGCCTAGACCTGTTTTTATTTTTATTTTTTTTCGCCCTGTCGCTTCATATTTTTTCTGAAAAAATCCGAGAACCAACAAATTAAATTGGTGTGGCCTAACTTTGATTTGTTAATTAATGTACTAAGACCATCTTGAACTGTTGGAGGCGAAATCCCTCCCCCTGTTCATAATTGAGCTTGAAGGAGCTTCGTTGTATTGAGCTCCCCCCTCCATCCTTGTACACAGATGTAAACCAACACTGCATGTAAACACACTTGTCTTGTTACTTGCACTTGTCCGTGTCCACGCACATTCTCACCCTTTATCTTCACCTACCGTTGACAAAAACTGTGCAGCTGCTAAAAATCCACTGTATTGCGGGATCAGTGATAACAAAGATGATGATTAAGATGTTGTGTCCAGTTGTTGTGTGAGTTGGTGGATATCGACTGCCTGCCCCTGTCCATACCTAGACAGGGTTAAGAAATAAACATATTTCATCTATATCATCTATATTGTTTACTGGTTTTTATTTAGTTTTGTTGTTATGCATGTGGTTTCAGTTATTTTGTTCTTTGTGCCATGCTTTCTTTTGTGTGAATTTTTGAAACAATAAAAAGAATGATTTATAAAAAAAAAAAGAAATAAACATAAAGTGATCTCGATGTTTGTATCAGTAGTTCTATATAAACCCACCCCGCTCTGTTATGTCCAGCCCACGCCAGGTGATTTGGCAGATATTGGGTGCCTGTCGCCCGGTGCTGCCTGCCTGCCTGCCTGCACCTGTCCATGCATGTACATAATACATACATTAACTTTGTGATCTGAATGTTTGTATCAGTTATCGGATATCAGGTGCCTGTCCCCCAGCGCTGCCTCCTGCCTGCCCCTGTCCATGCTGCAGAGCTCCCAGCTTACGTTTGTATCAGTAACTGATTTGATATTCATGTCCTTAAACCAGTCTGCCCTGTTATGTCCAGCCCATGCCTGGTAATTAGGCGGATATCGGGTGCCTGTCGCCCGGTGCTGCCTCCTGCCTGCCCCTGTCCATGCTGCAGAGCTCCCAGCATACGTTTATATCAGTAACTGGTTTGATATTCCTGTCCTAAAACCAGTCTGCTCTGTTATGTCCAGCCCACGCCCGGTGATTTGGCAGATATTGGGTGCCTGTCGCCTGGAGCTGCCTCCTGCCTGCCCCTGTCCATGCTGCAGAGCTCCCAGCAGAGGTTCACGGCCGACATCCACCACCTGGTGCAGGAGGTCAACTTCCCCCTGCGCCGGGACTCCGACTGGACCGGATCCAGCCACAGCTCAAGCTCACAGGTTTGCACAGCTTTAAGTGTTCTAGCCAGCCTGAATTTTGTTTCTGTCATCTCAACTTTGTTTTACATTTCGAGCACCAACAAAGCTAACAACAAAGGGTTAGTGTCATAAATGAGCAAGTAAAAAATGTTTGTGATCTGCTGTGTAAAAAATGTTTGTGATCTGCTAAAATGCACCAACAAAGCTAACAACAAAGGGTTAGTGTCATAAATGAGCAAGTAAAAATGTTTAGTTTATGTATATATTCTTTAGTCTTTTAATTGTAAATCGTACTTTTACTTCAGCCTTCAAAGTCTTCCACGGTATGATCTGTAATGAAAATGAGGATGTAAATAAACCATTCATTCATTCACCAAAGCCACAAGGCACTGCGCCAGAGGCAGATTGTTGTGTTGTGAAAACTCTACAAAGTTGCCTTCTTTGATTCTAGTTAGCAAAAACTGACAGTAAACATCTGGCAAATTTCAAGAACAAAGCATCTGTAGCAGTGTGCTTTATTGTACATTTTCCCCACCTCCATTTCTAGCTGTCAGTAGAGAGTGAGTCCAGCACAGCCAGTGCAGAGGGTCCAGACGAGCCTCAGATATCCACTTCTCCAAGAGCAGTGCACAGGCAAAGGGAGAGGTTAGCCAGGTCTTAGTCACACATCATTTCCCTAACACTGGTCTGAACATTCAAGTTGTCCCCTGTATAAACAACAATCTTTTACAGTCATGATAACATAGTCAGAATCTATCTGTGTGTCCCTGAGCCACCCCGCACATTAAGGGTACTGTAACTTGATGAAGTGGGTGAGATTGAAACATGCATACACATGGGAAAAACAGACTTGCTTGTAGCTGTCTTATACAATATAGAGAATTTGTTTGTCAGCAGACAATGTTTAAATCATGAAAGTGGCAAGAATATGTGTTGCTGGAACTACTAAACCAACAGCTGGTAGATTAACCAATGGATTGTCCAATTCAGCACCAAGGACATGGCCAATTATGGGACAAGGGAAGGGATATTGTGTATCAGTAGGAACAAAAAGAACATTGTAACAACTGTTTCATATGTACTAATTATTGCAATTGAAAACAAAACATAAGCTGGTTGTAGAACCAATGGATAGTCCATTTCAGTACCAAGGACATGACCAACTGTTTGAATCTGTAGGAAGAAATGGACTTTCTAAAGCATAACATTTATTTGATATGCCAACTTTGAAGGGACAGGCACCGCAGCACAGTGGTTGCACTACAGGAGATGGCTAGGCTACTGCCAGTGTCAGAGGATGGCCAAAAACAGACCAAGGTAGGGTGTTACTGTACTTTAGAAAAGCTGCAAGTCATCTTTTCTATTGTGTTATACACCGATACTTCAATAGTCAGAAAAGACAATGTACTTGAACTCTTCTTAAAATGAAGTTTTATTACAAAGGAAGTTGCAAGCAGGAACTCTAGTAGCCCAAGCTCAAATTGCAACATGTAGATATACTTAAAGCAAAACTTTAAAACCTACTCATCATCCAGCACAGAGTACCATCAAATTACATTTATAAACTAGAAAAAAAAAATTGTTTTACAATGTCGCAGAAGACGTTTTGCTGTTTTAGTGTTTTGGTCTAGTACTGTTGTCTGCAATCTATTTTATGTTTTAGATACCGGTAAGTACAATTGGCAAAGAGTCTCAGATTTTTGTACCTGTACATCATATATAAGTAACATATGCTTCTGTTTTCCTTTTTCAGCGTCGTGTGTTGCAGCAGTCTATTCACTACATTGACTGGCTGCATACGGAGCTGAAAATGGCCTACACAGACCTGGGAATCGAACCCTGCACCGCCAGGGTCAGCCTGAAGGACGTGTGCAGGGATCTGGGCGTTTCTCCCGCCATCCTCACCATGTCCCCGTCCGTGCTCAGCTACGACCTACACATGCTGGCAAAACACATCGAGGGGAGATGCCTGGACGATCAGCACCCCGGTCTGAAACTGGAGCACCATCCGTTAGGTGCTTTATTTCCTCCATTAGCAAACATACAAGTACAAACAAGTACAAAGTATGTAGCTAGTCTTCCTTGAGTTAAATATACATCATGCAAGCTACATCAAAATTGAAACATTGTTTACATACACATAACTTAACACATAATTTTACATTTGAAAAGTTAACATCAGATGTGCCTATCAACTCCTCCCTAAACTTACTCTTAGCTGCTGTTTGTACCTCATGTTCCAAGCTATTCCATACTGTTAAGGATCTGTAAGTCTTCTTTAGATCGTTTGTTTTAGGTTTCATCAAACTGTACGTGTTTCTGCTGGCGTGGATTGTTTAGGAACAATTGGCGATGTGGACCAGACGGCAGGCATGGCTGGACTGGATCACCAACATGGAGTACAGACTAGCCACAGAGATCCAGACACCCACGCTTACACCGTGGCTGGAGAAGCAATGAAGTCTGAAGTCTCAACTTCTTGCCACCAAACTGAGAACATCATCATCACAACACCTAAGCAGTCGAAGAAGAGATGGATGAGCCACAAAGAAGCCAGACCAAAACGGAAGACCAAACCAAAGAGATGCTGCACCGAGTGTCTGGAGGACAGTACGCCCAGGAGAGAGCTTGGATGGATGGGGAGGAGGTTGGATAGGAGCAGGCCCGTCCCAAATGCTAGGAGAGCGCTCTTCAGTAGCGGCATGGAGACAACAACCGTTCTAGATGACGATGACAGTGGTGACAGATTCTCCGCCTTCTTCCAGCCTGAAACGTCGTGGAGTGAACCTCGTAGCCCCTCGCCGCAGCAGGTAGTACCATCAAATCAGGCCAACGGTCTTGACAAGACTGATATTCAGTGGGAGACACCAACCGTTGGCTCTTCGGGTACACATCCACCAGACTCGGTTGTCCCCGAGGCAGAAGACATGCCCTACAGCAAGCCCATCATGGATGACTACATCAAAACCTCACCGTTTGGCCGCCCAGCCTCCTGCCCACCCTGCTACTCTGCAGCAATGGCAGCTCCCCCCAAGTCGACCCTCACCCCACCGATCTGGAAGAACCTGGATGAACAGAGCATTTTTGACACATCCAACTCCTCCGTGGACACGCTGCCTGATGGAATCTTCGCCGGTCAGTTCCCGACGTCTTGGGACGAGGCAGACAAAGAGTCGAACCAAGAGGTGCCTTCTGAAGACAGAGATGAAGACAGTAGAGACTCGGGCACCAGGAGGAGGCGTTTCTCCTATGGCAGGGCGAAGAACAAGAAGAAGTGCGTGAACGGATTCATCATGTTCTGCAAGATAGTGCGAGAGAAGCAGAAACAGTGAGTCACTTTAAGCAATTTTGGAGGTTACCCTTCAAGGTTTGCATATTTTGTTGCTGATAGAAACTCATGATCAGGCTTACATAAGTGTCTTTTGGGTCATTTGTTGAATATGGGTATAGAAGGAATTTGATAAATGTGGTGAAATTGTAAAATGCAAAAGTTAACCTTGTTGATGTCTGCATACCCACTAGCAGAGCTGCAGTTCAATGCTTGGCAGCCAGGGGGCTCTGCAGGTCTGTCAGCACAAGTCAAGTTTTACTTCTGTGTTTGGGAGAGTGGGAGTGTAGTTAGCCTGACCAAATCAGGCTACTATTGGTGGTCCACCTGATAGTCTTGGGGAGGGGTCAAATAACCCCAGCCAGTGAGAGATTGTGTAAACACAGGCTAAGGCTCTCTCTCTCTATCCAGTTTAACATCTTTTCCCCCCAAAACTGGGGGTTAGACGTGCTTGCATCAAGTGCAAGTCTTTGTTGAAGCAAGATTTTTTTTAACCGCTGGATGCCCTTCCTAACGCCAACCCAAACCCTAGTAGGGCCCAGGATCCCTCTAACTGAGAGGGGAAATATGTGTAGTGTAGTGCTGTGCTTTTTTCCAGGAGGTACTCCGGATATGCGTCCACCCAAATCAGTACCATGATGGGGAGGAAGTGGGCTGCCATGTCACCAGCAGAGAGGAAGCCGTTCAAGTGAGATGACATTGTTTTCTTTTACAATAGACAGTCCAGCAGAAGATTATATCTTAAGTCAACATTATATCTTATTGTGGGATTCAGGTGTCCAGAAAGTTGCATTTCATCAGAAAGAAATTCAGCTTTGTTATCTTTCCAGAAGTGACCAAACATCCAGCACAATGTCATTTTCTGTCTCAAAATTTTGTTGAATATTGTAATAGCATCTTGCTATTGCTAAATTACCCATCTCTATGCAGATGCAGGGTACAAAGAAGCTCTTCAGCCTTTGGGCCAGAGGTTGCAACCATTTAAATGACAGCTATCTGCTACCTGTTGATTACATTATATATATGACTAATTCCATGTGTTAACATCTGTTTTAAACAGTGTATGAAACTGTCTTTGACACAGAGATGCTGCCTATGAGTTCAGTCTGAGGAACAACAGGAATGTCATCGTGCAGAAGTCTCTGCCGCACGATGCCTTCGGCATAACAGGTGCTCTATGCGGCACCTCTTCTACGTCAACAATGGATGCTGCTGGACCACTCTATACGTCATCTGTGTCGAGTCTTGTTTCTGATGCACATGTCCCTGTATCAAGGGAGTGTTGTACAGCAACAGTGACTTCACCTCTGTCAGGTGCATCAGGTGAAGATGCAGCTACAGTAGAAGGAGTAACAAGTTACATGAGCTGATGACAGGCTTTTAGCTAGGATTTTTTTGTTGGGTGTCCATTTTTTTTATTGTATGCTATGTGCAGCGAAGATGCGCAGTGCACAAGCTTTTAGGGGGGCTTTTTTGAAATTCGTAATGCTCTCAAACACCACTTTTTGCATTTTGAGGTGAAAATTTGATGAGGAATGTAAGTTTTTTTCATCAGTAAACCATCATTTCTGTATTTCTAGTAAGGCTGAAGGGAAGCATGTGTGCATGGCAGGGGTTGGGAGTGGAAAAAATAGGGCGTCTTTAGGGTGTCCTACAAAAAAGTAGGGCGTCCAATTTCTTAGTATTTTCAGTACAGGGCGTCCAAAAGACACCCCCTAGCTAAAAGCCTGGCTGATGATAATATGGACTGGAGACTCTACTAGGCCTATATGTCTTGAATGGTAAAGATGCTACAGACCTATTTTGGTGTCTGTTGACTCTGTACTGTTTTCCAAATAAGATTTTTCCTAAGAAATCCCATGTGATAGCACATAGTATTACGACAAGTTCGTTACTTGTTTAACAAAAGGTTGTGGCTGCATTATTTGTAAATTGCTAAGAAAATAAAAAAAAACATTTACATATTTCCAGTTTTCATATTTAAACTTCCTATTGTTTAACTTTATTGTGAAATGGTCAGAAATTGAGATCTGAAAAGTAGAACCTTGATGGAGGAAAACCTTTCAGCTAACTTGGTTTGTAACCCACATATGCACTATGACTGTATGACATGCTGGATCACCTATGATTTTCCCCATAAGTGCCAATATCAAAGTGTGAATTTAGAAATTAGTCAAAACAGGAAACCAGACATCTTTGCTGTTAAATTAACTGTTTATTTACACTTTCATAGTATCAAACTCTTATCGTTCACAATTCATGTTGTTTTGGAATGTTACCACCAAATTATGGACATTCAAAAGTTAGTTTTAAACTTTGTATTTGTCTCCCAGACATATGGGAGTCAGCATTGCAGTATATAAAAAAATACAGTCTGTATCCATTGATACAATATATTGCACTAAGTATTGTTAACTTATTACATACAAATAAATACACTTTGTTCAGCTTCATATTTCATCTTCTCTTTATCATAAATCTGTGTGGTTTACTATTTACAGTTTAAAAGTCATTATTACAGTGTTGACTGACACTCAAGGCAGTGCCTGCTATTTCTCCTTTTATGTGGGAGCGAGGATCTTTGTGTACAGTATTGTGTCAGGGTTTTCCACTGGAGATGACACATCATTCTTGAAGTAAGCCACTGGACGACCTGTAAGGAAGAACAACAAAAATTAACACCTGGAAGCATGAAGAGATAATGACAAATGCTACTAGTAAAATTAGACATGAACAGATTACCGTTGAAAGATAAAATGTAAACTTCCGTTATAGATAAGATTTAACAAACCTCACAACGTATTAGTACTAGTTGTGCATTCTCTATTGCTTTACTGTCTTATAATTTTGCAAATAATTTGTTATCATATTTGTATAGTAATTTATACCCTTGTTAGGTAACGGTACATGTTACCTGCTGTACTTTCAAGTTTACTTGATGAGTGACTTGTGCTTTCAAAGTTGATGCCGAAGTTATCATGCTTTCAAACCACCCGCAAAAGCAACCATGCCCCTGTTTTAAGTGTTTTGTTTCCACTTTCTGTCGGCGCACAGATGGTACTGTAGCCACTCCCCCTCTAATTAATCCCATTCCCCATCCAGTCTCCCTTCCCCCGATCATTCGTGCTTCCACACCTAGCTTGTGTGGCAGCATTTCCCGCCCACCCACCCTAACTTGGCTGTTTTATTGTAAGTCTTATTGTAAGTTTTTAGTTTTAGTCCTTCTGTTAGTGTAGTGTAGGACTACGGTCCCGGACTACGGTCCCGTTAATTAGGTCTTCCTTGTTCAGTTTAACGTCGTTTTTTAACGTACAACAGTGATTGTCTTCTGGTATACCTTCACCTATGTTCAGACTCTCATAACTCATAACTATACTGGATTCTGAATTGCATTGTATTTTTTTTGAGGAGCCATTAAAATGTCTGCCACCAAAATGTCGGTGCGCACTACCGTGTCGGTGCGCACTACCCTATACCTTGTTGTGTTATCTGTGCATAGACAGAAAGTGGGGTTCTCTTCGGAACTTGTGAAGAAGAGAACTCACCTATCCAAGTCTTCCTGTCCGTGAGGACGAAGCCCCGACACTCCGCATCTCCGTCACACATGTCCGCGGCTTCCTCTGCGTCGAACACGGACACCGCGCACGCACCTCGGGACAGCGAGCGCAGACAGTCGAAGTCTCCCACACCCGGGACGTCGGACTGGGGAACCTTCCTGTATCCTGGGAAGTCCGCATTACATTCACTATGTGTTTTGTAGTGTACTTCATTACATTATTTGTGCCATTATGCCATTAAAATAAGTTGTTAATATAATGTTTTTATCTTGGCTCCAATAAGGATCTGACCTGTTATCTTTTAAAATGTTTAGGTGTGATACTGGCAGAACTATACACTTGTAAAACTTTTTGTCCACTATAAGATATTAAAATCTCATTGAACTATGTTGGTAATGAAACTACCTTTGTGAATGATTTCCATTACTCTAGCTGAGTATTCTAAACTTTATCCTGCTGACATAACCAGGAGTTCTGTATGATTTTTCTTTACTCACTTGTCATGTCTGGTTTCGCCGGCTCCCTGTGTAGGTACGCCCCACTCTGATACAACTCCAGGATCCTCTCCATGTGAGCAGCAGTCTCTTCACTGGACCACTGCAGGGTAGCTACAGAAAGCAAAGGTAGCCATTTTTACTATTGTGACTGAATGAGTGAATGAATGAATGAATGGTTTACTATAACTAAAGCATGTTGCAGGCTAACCTGCATCCTTTTTTACTGCTTTTTTACTTTATTGACGTGCTTTTGTCTAAAAGAGTGTCTACTACTACATGGAAACTTTTGAGCCATTTGGGTTTTCCAGCATTAACCTTAAACTTTTACAATACGTTTCTTGAAGTAGCCTGGGTGCCAGACGCTAGCGTTCATAAAGCGATAGATTTTTTTTTGTGTCCGCTACTGTATCCGCCGCCCAACCCCAGGCTGCCCCAAACCCAATATCTTTCACGCTGCCAGACGCTAGCGTTCATAAAGCGATAGATTTTTTTTTGTGTCCGCTACTGTATCCACCGCCCAACCCCAGGCTGCCCCAAACCCAATATCTTTCACGCTAGCGCGAGGAGATAATTAGAGCCAGTGTGCAAATCAGGGTCGGCGGGGCGTGTGCCTTTCCCGGGCCGAGGAATTATCGCCGACTCGCGGTAGGGGATGGCACCCAGGCTATTCTTGAAGATTTCAAGAGGACTTAATCTCCTACCTGTCTTATTCATGACCTCATCCACCAGTGGCTTCAGCGCTTCTGGTACCTCGAAGGGGAGCAGGTACACGAAGAAGTATCTGTAGGCATTGTACAGGTTACTCTTGTCGCTCCAGGACGAACATTTCCCCTGCTTGTCACAGGACAGCTGGAAGGACGTCCCCGGGAACTCCAGGGCGCAGTCCGAGTCCAGGGCGCAGTTCGGGGCGTAACTGTCGGCATCATCCAGGTCTGCCAGCTTCACCTCTCCATTGACAAGTACAAACTGCTGCAGCTTGAAGTCGTGGAGGATGACCGGGCCGATGGGGGAGGAGTTCAAGTGGGCCAAGAGCTGAGCCAGGCCCAGGCTTATCTGTGAGAGACACGAAAAGAAAACGTAAGAAATTAACTTTCTTAGCCCACAAATTTGGCCACACACATGGAGCCAAGAGTTGAGCCAGGCAAAGACTCATCTGTGAGAGAAAAGGTAAGAAATTCTATCAGAAACCATCAGCTTTCGTAGTCCATTTGTATATGAATAGTTAATTTTGAAAGGCCTGTAACATTGTTTCAAACACTGACAGTCAAAATGGCTGAATTGTGTCAGGATATTACAATACATTAGGATTGAGACATATTTACAAATAGCACATTTCAAACAGCAAGTTTGGGTTTAAATGAATATACAAATGTAGCAGGCTTTGGAAAGAGTGGAAGAAATTGGCCAAATAGGCCACTTACCAGGGTAGCTGCTGGTCTGTTCATCTGTACTCCTTTAGCTGACCAACCCCCCTGGTATGTTTTCTGTCTTCTGGCCAATTTCTACTCTTTTCAAAGCCTGGTAGAAGCATGTTAAACCCAAACTATGCCGCTGAAATTAGCATGAAAGTTCATCTGAGAGGGCCTGCAGACGGTCGTCTTCGGCGCCTGAAATCTTGCCCCCCCCCCCTCGGTGTTTGTGTATGGCGCGCTCGGAACTCGCTGATCGGCTTCACCTATCGCCCGGTGCCTTCGGCAGCCACCGATTCGAACCCGATTTCGGGTGATTTTGGCACCCGCCAGGACTCCAAAAAACTCATGGATCTACCGCCTATGCGCAATCAACACAAAGGCAATAGTTTTGACGTAGAACTATTAGTTGCTGTGTTTTAGACGGTCTGGAATCCTCATGATTTAACGTAATTCGTAATCAGCTCTGAGAATTTAACATAATTCGTAATCGACGGCGAAAATATGGCGTAATTCGTAATCAATACCCCCCCTTGCAGGCCCTCATCTGAGTTGGTAAATTACATTATGAAGAAGTTAAACTGTTCTCCAACTCAAAATTTGACTCAGCGGAATTTTCGACTGAATCACTCAGTCTTCCTCAGCTATCTGACCCAAATGCTGTGGACACGTGATTTTTCCCACGTGTGACGTCAGACTTCAGACAACCTTTGACCCTTTGCTGACGTCACACATGGGAAAAATCACGCGTCCACAGCATTTGGGTCAGATAGCTGAGGAAGACTGAGTGATTCAGTCGAAAATAACGGTGAGTCAAATTTTGAGTTGGAGAGAACAGTTTAACTTCTTCCTTATGCCCCTGAAAGTAAGAGTTGTGGCTCACCCTGAAGCGGTCCTCCCAGGAAGCCTGCAGCAGGTTGATAATGTCCAGAGGTCTGCCCAGCTCCGTTATGGAGGTGACAGAGCCGTCCTCCCCTCCATGGAAACAGTAACCTAGCAACTGGGAGCACACAAACAAGGGCAGTTTTACTCGGGTGTCACATAACAAAGTAGCTTACCTTGAACTTAACCATTTAAAAAGCTACATTCAGCTGACAACTGCCATTGAAATGACCCACTCCCAAAAAGGAGGAATGGTTGAGACATTAACAAAATTTTAAATCATTTCTGTACAAATAGAACCAAATACTTCTCCACCAGTTATCTGAATTGACCTTCCACACTACTAAACTTTCAAAAATACTAGTATTTTATTTTCAAAGCAACATGTATGCAGTCACTGTACTGAGTAGCTTTTGACAAAATAGTTGTTAGTGGACTGGCAACTCTCATGGCCACTTTTTTGGATGGGACAACCTGGAGTTTGAATGTATTCTTGACATCATACAAGAACACATTCACCTATTCTACATTAACTTAAGGAAATGTGTTACTCTTTTACGTACGATCAAGAGAACAGCCTTCTCATAACTTGTTAAGCCAACTGACTTACTCTAATACCATGTAATAACAGTCCAGCTAAACTCCCCAGTGCACTTCAGTACTCCTAACCAGAACATTCCTGCATGGCACCTGGAGAGTGCATGACCGCCTACAGGTTCGTGCCACACAAAACTGTGGTGTAAATCTTCACGTTGACAGCAACACAGTGCCAAGAATGCAATTAGAATGATAACATCAGCACTGAGAAGGTAGGTAGGAAGACCTGCCATCCCTGAACTACTGTCAGGGGGCCTGCATGCTTTTTTCACGCAAGGTGTGATTGGGACTTTTCGTAAGGTGTAATCTTCGTAATCCGTAGGCAGCCTCCCCCAAAATTGACGTAATTCTTAATAGCACATTAAACGTAAAGTCGTAATCAGATCTGATAATCTAACGTAATTCGTAATCGGCAGCGGCGGAAATTCTGCGTAATTCATAACCACTAGCAACTACCAACGCCCCCCCCCCCATGCCCCCCCCCATACTTCTGTGTATGATCTAGCTGGCTTTGAATGGAGGCATTGTGAATCCTGAGTGTAGAGGAATATTTTTGTTGGCTTGCTAAAACTGCATGCACTGATATGGGTCATGGTATCCATTTATTACCGCAGGCATAAGTTACACCTGCAACTTAAAGCTATAGGAAGCAAACTGTAGACGATGTAGCGAATATTCCATCCAGCCCAGAAAGGAGACCTGAAAGTTATGAAATCATCGGAGACTTTTCCAACTTAATGGAAACACTTCCAGCACCACTCAAGAACAAGGCACCATGAGTTAGACCAAGTGTAAACCAGCACCAAGAGACTATAAGATATTACACGTAAAACAAGGACAACAACAGACTTTCATAACAGGATTCAGGCTAGTATCACAAATTTTCCAACAGAACTGGAAGTGCCCACTCCAGCCACCCAGGATGGATGTTTGGAAAAGGTTGTTTTGGTGTAAATCTCGGGGGAACATTTGCCACATTTGTAGCATTTCCCCCCTGCCAAAAGGGGCAAGGCTCCCAGGAGGGGACAGATGGAAGGGGAGGAGAGCTGGGCTAAATAGAACCCAGCATGTCCTGTCAATCACTGCAGATAATGTTGGGGACAGAAGAAATGCTTTGAAATCCAGCAGAAATTAAAAGCATGAACGAGTTAAGTCAGTTCACAGAATGGTGAAACAACTATGGTGAAATAAAGCAAAGTGACAGGAGATAACGAAGTACTTAGTATAGTCCACTTAAGGGTAAATATGTAGGTCACTAGGTAGGTTTACATTTGATGATGTACAGTAGTGTATGTGAATTGCTGGGAATCTATGATAGACTGCAATGTAATTATCATTCTAGCATAGCTGTCTTACTAGCCAGATAGTTGCCAGGGCTAGTATACAGGCTAGCTCCTAGGAAATATTATTACAAGCACCCTAAGTTACACTCTGGGCTCCTAAGAAATATTACCACAAATTATATACAAGTTAGACTCTGGGCAGCTTCTTTATAATAGGATCTAAACTGGGAGCTGGCCTTTGTGTATTAGCCCTGAGAACAGTCTGGCATCCAGGCTACTGTCTTCCACAGACAGAGGGCATGAGCACTGTGTCTGTACAGTGGGTAAGTAAGGAGATCCCCCCTTTGCCCTTCCCCATGCTGGGCTGACAAAGGAAAAGGGAGTGAAGCATTTTCGGGCAGGTTAACCCACAAGCCGCGTTCACCCCTGGTCTGGCCCCCAGCAGGAAGCTGCCTGTTCCCTGGGGTGGAAGGGGGACAAGGGCACATTGGACATGGGGCAAGTGTCAGTTACAGTTGGACCAGCCCAGAAAAGAACAAGAAACAGTCATGCCTTCAAATATCAGAGTTGTCAACCAAGAATATTGAGGTGTTCAAAAACTCGTATTTCCCAAGAACTATCGTAGAGTGGAACTTGTTGCCACCAGGCACAGTTGGGGCATCATCACTAGAAAGCTTTAAACAACTGCAACTAAATGCGCAAAGATTGATTGTAACAAGTCGTTCGGTGTGACATAGCTAGCTGCAGCCGTGCCGCGTGCCTGCGAAGCTGGTGTGTTACGCCGAAGGGCTGTAACAGCTATAATGATACAGATACAGACATGGGGCTGAGGAATAGATTTGAACTTGAAGGGAAACATTTCTATATCAACAATTTGTCATGAAAAGAGTAGAGTAGAGCAGAGTTGTTTTGGCCTGGTAGGAACTTGATTCCAGTTTGGCCTGCCCTAGATATTCAGTTCAGTTCACTGTTGTCTCAGATTTCTCACAGTGGATAATCCAGAGCTTCATATTAATACATCACTTGGTGTTGTTGCATGTTTACAAATGGACCAAAGAATGGCTCAAAACTACACATATCACCTCTGGATAGAAATGCTCACACAGAAATAGTGTGTAGTACCAGTCACTGCCAGTAGTGACATGGAGAAAACAAAAAAACAACAACAAAGGATGGCTGAAAGTTGGTACATGCTAATAACATTTGATAACCCAAGTTTTGTTGACCAGCTATGAACATCTATGAAGTAAAATGTGCTGGATATTTCACAGTTCTTGCCACTGCACTTGATGTTAAACAGTCTTGACATCCACTCAGTCAGAAGGTTAATGCCAAATAGAGCGAGGCTTACCATTAGGAAATTGGAATTTACAAAGCGAGGCAGCAACAGTTAATAATAATAGTTTATTGACAACAACAATCCTTGTACATGGCAGCGTTTAAACCGCTGAATTGCGTACACAGGTTTAAAAACAATTAAACAATAAGGTGGGCTAAACAACCAAAGGACATTGACAAACTAGGTACAAACAACTTAAACAAATACTAGCTGTACGCAGTTATAAATTAGATATATAAGTGATTAAAAACAATATCGTCCGGTACTGGGAGATTTCAACCTAGGTCTGCTTGTTTATTTAACAAATCAGTGAAATAGGGGATTGGGCTCGTTTTGTACCGCTTTGTTTTCGTCAAAGGGATGTCGAGTTGGTTTGCCCCCTTCAGGCATCTGCCATGGATGTCTGAGCGGGATGGGGGTAACCAATGTCGGAACGAAGTGGAGTTAAGGAGGGACTTTGCAAACTTAAGACTGAGGGCTTCTCTTCTTTTCTCTAGGGACGGCAAACATAATTGGGACAGGGCGATGTTGTAAGACGTGTACAGGGGGCCAAGGATTATCTTTACTGCTCGTTTTTGTATGCGTTCAATTTTTATTACTTGATGTACAGAGATACTTGAATTCCAAACTGGGGCCGCATATTCAAGGGTCGGGCGTATGTATCCTTGGTAGAAATCGCAAAGGTCTTGAACAGGGAGTCCGGAATGTTTCAGTTTCTTCAGCCAGAAAAGACGTGAGCTCCCCTTCTTTGTTATAATTTCAATATGTTTGTCCCATTTCAGGTCCCCCGAGAGCCATAAACCGAGAATACAGGCGGATTCGGTATATATAAGGGGCTTATTATGAAGTGTTATATTAGGGGGTGGGGGACAGTCTCTCATAAAGGAAAAGGTCATGAGCATACACTTCTCGTCATTTAGCTTCATGTCATTATTAATTGCCCAAGAGTCGAGTCGGTCCATAGATGATTGAATTAGGCTCTCTTCACAGAAAAGTCTGCTCTCGCATAACGACAGGTCATCTACGTATTTATAACGATTTAGAATGTCATCTTGTAAGGCGTCATTGACATATATAAGAAAAAGAATCGGTCCCAATTTAGTGCCTTGAGGCACTCCAGATGAGATTCCCTCCCAATTTGAGGATTTGGTACGGTATCGGACGCACTGGGTACGGTTTGTAAGGAAGCTACATATCCAAGGCATAATTGACGCCCTTACCCCACATGTCAACATCTTGTTAATTAGCTTGGTGTGGTTTATCCTATCGAATGCTTTACTGAAATCAGTTATTAGTAGTGTTTGAACGCTTTTAGGGGTTTCAGCACCAAGGACTATGTAGTTAATTAAACTGGTTAGATAATGGACCGTAGACCTTCCTTTCCTGCTTCCAAACTGAGTGGGATCTATCACTTTGCCTATGTCCTGAAGAATCCACTTAACGATGTAGGATTCAAATGTCTTTATAAGACTGGAGGTTAGGGATATTGGCCTTAAGGTTTCGAGAGAGGCTGGTATCTTCTTAGGAACTGGGGTTATAATTGCTTGTTTCCATTGAGTAGGGACATATCCTTCATCTAAAGATGAATTAAATATATGAGATAAAACGTCACTGAACTCAGCCGCGTACATTTTAACAATTTTGGGCGGTAAGTCATCCGGACCACTACTTTTATGAGGGTTGAGTCGTTTTAATGTTTCGTATAACTCCCATGGCAAAATTGTTGGTGGTTTTGAGGGGGACGGTAAGTATGAAGGTACTGAGGTCAGGTCCAAGGGGGGTAAATCATTTACAATAGAGGAAAATGCATGTTAATGATATTTGCTGTGTCTTCTTCATTTGCATGAGGGTCATTGGGAAGCCTAATAGACACCTGTGGTTTACGAGAATTTAACATTT